TTGCATCATTACATGAGTTTATTTTACAGTCAATAAAATTTGCATAAGATAAACCTATTTGCATTTTTTGTATCGCTATGTGAAATCGTTCTAATGGAGCACACTAAACCATTTTATTAAAACTATTTAATATAATATGTAAGTTAAACGTGGGTCAGAACGGTATTTAGATAGGAAAAAAAATTAAAAATTTATTTTAAAGGGCCATGTGCATCTAAGGTAACTGGTTATTTTGGATTAAAGTTATGCTTTCTGATTGGTTTAAAGTTAAAGTGAATTTTCAAATGTGAGAAAATCGTGTAAGGGCTCTTTGATGCACATGGGCTTTTAGATTAAAATTCAATAAAATATTGTAAGATGATAGGACTGAATGTAATATTAAAGCTTGATTAAAAAAAATTGGTGGTGTTTTGCTAGTTTATATTTTTAAATCTTTTGTTTTGATTAAAACCATCCATCATCATCATTATCATCATCATCACCATCATCATCATCATCATCATCACCATCATCATCGTCATCATCATCATCATCACCATCATCATCATCATCATCATCATCATCACCATCATCATCATCATCATCATCCCTCAAACGAGTAAGATTGTCCACCATCCATACTTAGCACAAATCAAGTATTGAGGTAACAAAATGTCAATTCAACAATATATATGGTTTATTAACAAATAATGTATTAATTTTACAAATAAACCTGAAGATTAATATCCAGAACCCTATAAAATCACTCCAATTCATATGCACATATCTATATACCAATATATAATTTATATCTACACTCCATTGATAGATACAGGGTTCTCTGGCGGCTCAGCAACAGGGAAGGGACCTGCTTTAGGCGGCTCATTRAATGYCTCMAGAGTTTCACTGGGTTTTAGCATTTGCTCTTTTTCAAGTTCATGCTGTTGTGCAGCRTCTTCCACCATACGAGTTAAAATGACCCAGTGGTTGGCAGGCATTTCTGCTCGATGTGAATCCATCAGAGAATGTGATACYACTTCAAACTCACGACCAAATGGTGTYCTATTGAAAATAAGGGATGTGWCGTTAATTCATATTTTTATGAAYAATGACCAAAAGTGTTGATAAGGCAATAAGAAACAAATCTACTAGCATAATATTATTTCTCACAAGAAAAAATTAGGACTATTTTGAACTACTAGTGCAGAAAGAGCAAAGGTGCCGTACTAGTATTCTTACCGAAATGAGAATTCTGTTAAACATGCAAGATTTTGGTTGGTTTTACAGTGGTTTATGATAAGTCTTTGATTAGCCTGAAAGAGAATAAAAAATAAGTAAGGGAAAGAAAATACATTGTTCAACCATACAAGACAGTACTACAGCTTTGTAGGGATACTTACCGTTACTGGCATGCCATCACTTTCAAGGCGCTCCTTGGGATTGAAACATAAACAATTCCTGGAATAAAAAGAAGGCATTAATGCTGGTGCATGTTGTTTGAGTGCTTTTATTGATTAATTTAAHATAATGTTTGTTATATTTGTTCTCACTGGCCGTGCAAGTCGACCTGTTACATAATATTCGTACCAATGAGATGTGAAAGATGTGTCTTCTGTAAGTAAGACTTCTTGTTTCCTGGACTTCTTGGCAGACTTGTTGAATGTTACTCTGTCACTATGGACTTTTAACTGTAAGTGRAAAAGAAAATGATAAAGCATTTTGTAAATTGCTATTCGATTCTCAGTGAACTTTAACACTTAACCTATACAACCTACCTCTCCTCCAACACCTGGGAGGGTACTTAGAAGAAATGGTTGACCATACCGTAGAACTTGACCTTCCTGGTTTGGGTAAGGGCTAAACAAAAGAATTTATAAAAGTTCACTGAACTTAAATTTTTTTAATTATGTTAAGTTTGAATTCTGGGATGAGCAAGAAATGTCCTCAAATGTTCTCCCCTATATTCCCTATACGGGACGTGCCGCCAACCAGGGTAAAGTTTTCAGCGATTGTACTCTGGAACAGCGTATAGATTTGACCGATTTTTCTCTGGAACAACGTCAGCGTTTAATTCCGGAATTATCAATGCTGGGTAAATGATTCACGGGGTAAAAAATTTGGTCTACACGCAGGCTAGTGCTGTATTTTACTGTGGAACAGAGGTTTTTTTCAGCGATTCTACTCTGGAACAGGGATAGTTTTCAGTGATTTCACTCTGGAACAGGGTCAGGGTTTTGAGGTTCCAGCGGTACACCCCCACCTAAGTTTGGAGGGAGCACTCCCCTCCCCCTGGGCTCCCATTTGTCAGCCTTGTAGGGGCATTGGTGTGGAGTTTGTATGTGACGTGATTGTTTAACTGCCTTACCTGAGTATAACAAATGCATTTCTGACACAAGGTTCAAGTGATTTAGTTGCTGATAACTCACAGGGCCCTGTCAGAGACTTTGCTTCGTGCATCTTGCTTTCAGACATGTTTGCAGCAAGAAAGACTTCAAATGCAGGGTTATATAAGCAGAYAACGTCTCCAAAATGTAGAAAGCCATCGTGTGATATTGAAAGATCAATCTACAGCAACAAAATCCGGGATCATTAGGATAAAATGCCATAAGTAAAAAAATCTATGTTTATAAAGATATGATTATTGATTCATCGTCCTGGTAAGCTTAATTTTAAGAATAAATGGTCAAAGCTTTACGTACCTTTTTCAAAATATTCCCTAGAAGATTACTTGCTTTTTGAATCAGCAATTCTCCTCTTTCTTTTTTATCCAAGAAATCTTTTAATTTATCCTAGAGACGACGAAACAAAAGAATTGTTACTSATACTAATTTGATCTCTCCTCACAGCGGGATTGTTTTGTCGATCACAACATTCACTTCGCAACTGTTGCTTTATAGGAATTCGAGAAACAACACTGCCTTAAATAAAGATGAAAACTCCAGGAATATATAACCAGAAAAGGAGGAAATCTTGATAATTATGTCTTCCATTTTATCGTTTAAAAACACTCGTGCAGACCTGATGAAACACWAAAAAGTTTAAAAATACTCACATCTTCCAAGCAGATGTCTTCATTCCAGTTTCCTATAAGAACTGAGTGGTTGTAGGTCCTAATACTCATTTTTTGCAGCTTAGATTAATAGGTTTGTTAGTGAAACTTGTGTTCTGTTGTCTTTCTTTGGACTGAGATAGATCAATATGACAAGCTGTAATTACTTGTTGTTGCCTTGACAACGTACAAACTTGACGAGAATCTTCCGATGTMTTGACGGACTTTGCACGAGGACATATCGACTGAAAATTGGCTAGAAGGCGACCCGACCGTGGCATTATCTTTACGGTTTTATTTTCCTATGCAAATGAAATTTGAGTGATCAGTCTATTTGCCTGTCAGCAAGTTCAAGATCCACCATTATACGCACGCAAATTTTACCTTGCGCAAATCGACGACTCGAGTGTTCGTTTCCAGGGCCCACTCAACTAGTATTTACAAAATGGCGGACGCTCCAAAGGTGCGAGCTTTTATTGTTATTTCTTGTTGATTCAATTTCTTTGAGACCAACTCTCTTATTTGTTAAAAAGATTCATGAATATCTTTCGCTTTTTGCTCCCCGCGAARAATTATGGGGTTTTAATAAGAAAATTCCAGTACTTGACACAAAGTAAATTTARTCAAAACAGTCCGGGAAAAACTACAAAATGCTTGAGAAAAATTGCTGAACATTTGTTGGGTTTGCATCCCTGCTCAAGAATTCACAGCAGATCCTTATGTACTTCTACTTCCAAGGAACAGTTTAAAGATGAAAGTAAAGTGCAAAACAATGTATGTCTAATATGAATTAGTATAAACATACTAATGGTCTATCACTCATACTGCGCTGTGATTGGCTACTCTACTAATAGTCTAATTTGTGATAGACCACTCGCGGGAAAATCAAAATGGCGGTATCTCATTAATAAAATATTTTAAGGATATTTCAATTTGTTTTCATTATTTAACTGATTAGTATGTTTATACTAAAACAATTAGACCTCTCGGCCTTGTGGACTAAGAGCTAATAGCCCATTCGGCCTCGCGGACTCGGCCTCATGGGCTATTAGCTTGTAGTCCACTCGACCTCAAGGTCTATTGTTAAGTGATGATATTAATATCAGCCCATCATCTCGGAGGATACCACAAAATAGGTTTTGTTTGTCCGTAGCCCGGATGATTCGAGTTGCATTCCCTTGGATGTGAATGTACTAAATTAATCAATTTGCCTATCATTTGTGCAGGTAGTACCTGAAAAAGATGRAAGGTTTACATCCAAAGTGTATGATAACTTTCCAAATGAGTCATGGTCAAAAGAGACAATACGACTTTATAATGAACTGCAGAAGCAAGCTGATGAAAGTAATGGATTATGGGTGGTACCTGAATTTACTGCATATACTGGYGAATAYARTTCATTCCATACAAGTGTTGACACAAATGGAAAAARACTGTTTGAATTTTATCGAATAGTGAACAAGACTGACAAACTTTTTAAAGGAGTTTGTCAGTTTGGGCCGTGGACAATGGGACCTAAAGGGTATGTACAAAAAAACCTAAGGCCCTCYTGACAAACAGTAAAAATGTGTGGAATAAGCATGTACTTATTTGCAAACTTTAAAGTACATGAGTTTTTTTTTTGTTACTATATACTTAGTCCACC